TAGTATTTACTCTGGTGGAAAAATCCATTATAACTATCTTAACCTTAAAATTATTTTTAAGGAAATCATTGGAAAGCCTTTTAAAGAGTCTGAACTTTAAATAGACCTATTTAATCATGTCTTTGATAATGCTATATTTACAAAGTGCTAAAAGTGAGGGCAAAGTGTTCCTCCAATAAAATATTTACTGTTTCTTTACATAGGAAATACTTCCCTAGAGTAGGAGATTCACTATTCTTAAGAAATATATGAATTTAGGTCAACAATTAAAATTTAAACAAGCAACTAAAAATGCAAATAGATTTGAACCAGCTCCTTATTTCTTCATATAATTAATATCACAAAGGTTTCAAAACTTTGTTTTATAGGTTTTCTGCCATTAGATCTCAGTTTGTGGAATATTTAAAAATTAATAACTGAATATTTCTGATTTTTATCTTAATATCCCAAAGATTAATGGCTGTTTACATAGACAGCCTTGTAAAACTAAAGAATGTTCCATTAGATTAAAGCCATTGTGTTAATTGTATCATTATCCTTTATTTTAATATAAAGGTTAATAAAAGATAGATTTAAGAATATTAAATCATAGCTGAGAGGAATATTAGTAGTTCTATTTTTAAAAATAAGCATAAAGTTTTCAATTGCTGTGGATCATAAAACTCTTAACACTGTTGTTTATATCATATTTCTTGACGAACTTGCTGGAGATACCACCTTACCTAAAGAATTAACTTTTATGAGCAATTCATGAGTTATAAGCATTATAAGCATTTTTTCCTAAACTGACATATATTTTATGATTGCAGTTAAGGACTATTTACATGGTACATACAATATTCTAGGATTCAGGCAACTTATGATTTAAAAAGGAAAATATTGTTTCTTTTTCTGTTTTCCTGCTTTTTCTGTTTCCTGCTCAGAAACACAACAGACCACAATAGACTCATTCCTTCAACATGAAACTGAAAGAGTTTTTAAATGATAAGACAGCTTCTTTGCAGTGTTTTCATTTGGTCTGGTAAATGATTTAAATGCTCAATATTACGTGTCTGCTCTAATCACTTTTGGTTGCTGTCAATAGTACAGAGTTGAAAAGGATCAATTATGTATCAATTACTGCTTATCAATTACTGCTTGATGTTTAGCCATTTTCACTCTGACTGCAAAAAGAAAGCTAGTAGCCTGCCTGCTACAAGTGTGCTCCCCTTGCTTTAGAAAGCCCTGTCAAAGTATAAAATGTTGCCTTGTTTCTAATAGTAACAAAAGATGGAATCTTTGGTTTGAAAAATAATACTCATATGATAGTATTTAAGGGCCCAGGATACAGCTCAGCAGCACAGCACCTGCCTGACAAGTACAAGGTCGTGAGCTCAATTCCCAATATCTAAAAATAATAGTACTTTTAATACTATTTAATAGTATTTAATTTAAAGTTAAATTCCATCATCTTCATCTTCTAATTGATTTAATATAATTACAGATGTATTTATCTGCCCACTAATACAGTTACTTTATCAAATAATAATTTGAAAATTATTCCCAAAGCACTGTGATAGTACGTGATTGAATATAAGGCAGAGAAAACAACCTTGTGCTCCAGTATAGGAAGTAAAACATTTGCTGTGTTACGAACACAGGACAGATACTGTAGTACAAGGCTTACGTAGTGAATGCAGCCTGGACAAACATACAACGTACTACGTAAAACAAAAACTGATAAATACCAAAAGAAAGGTCAAAAATACTATAAGAAGTTAAAGGCAGAAATCTGAAAAATCATTGAATAAAATATTCGGATAGTGTGGTCAAAATAAATTACTTTACCTAGCACAGGAATGAGAGTGTGAGAGGGAAACTGCTTAAAGCTTAAACAGCATGCGTGCCTGTTCTGTTATGCAGAGAACAGAGGAAGGTGGAGCTCAAGACAGCAGAAGCACTGAGGACGACAGAATAAGAAGGGGCAGCAGCCCGGCTGGTGCTAGAGCTGCCTCCTAGTGCATTTGAGGGCTTATGGGAAAGTGGAGGTGTTTCTAGTGGAGAGCAGCCCAGGAAGTAACCACTGGCACCCTCAAGATCTTGACTAAGAAGAGCTAACTGGAGGCAGCTATCCTGCTCTCTGGAGGTGGATTTCCAGATGCAAACCTAATGTTACCTCTCAGCTGAACTGGAAGAAAAAGAGGGACCACAACATAATGTGAGCAAGAGCAGGTGTTCTTGTGGCCAGAGGACCATGGCAGCTGGCCCCAGTGATACCTGGGAGTTCACTGAAGAAACCAGCTCTAACCAGTGCAAGTGCGTGAATCATGAATAAGTTAACGGCTATGAAGGCTAACAAAGTGTTGTTTATTGGAATCCAGAGGCCCAGAAACTGATTCTTTATTGCAAAGATTTTAAAATGATCATAATGCACACCTGCTTTTAGCTACCATTTAGCTAAAAATTTTTATCACTTGGAAAATTACTACCTCTGTAATAGAAAATGTGCATCCAACTGAAGAAAAACAAGAAATGATTTCCTAGAGGAGTCCGTCTCTCCCATTCCCTCCCTCACCCATCACTACTCTGACCTTTTTCTCATGTTCATCGGAATTACAGATGTCCTGCTAAATACTCTCTTCCGAGCTGCTGGGACAACACCCTGCACCCTCCATCTGCAGGTGGCAATGCTGAAAATTTAGCCAGACCTCCTCTATGAGTTACATATGAATTAATGCATCAACACTCCTATGCTGCTGTTTCTAAGTCACAAGTTTCTCTCAAATCCTATTAAAACCCCTGTCCCTGACTATACCTTTTTCCCACTAGCAAAGAAGTATTCTCTCTCCTGAACTATTTCTTTTGTATGCCTTATACAAAGGAATGTTGCTTCTTCTCTCATATCTTTAAGGGTGATGAGTTCACAACAGTGTCTTTTTTCACTCCCCGAAGTCCAGTCATTACCACCTCCCTTCATCTGTAAAAATTTCTACCTCCAAATCTGGAACAATTTTTCTTACATCCTACAGTAAGCATTGTGACTTACCTTGTGATAGATAATTGTGACTGCCAGTATCATTGACTTGGGAGACACTGAGGAGATCAATAAAGCACAATTCCAGGCATACCTGGCTGGGTCATGGGGGCACAACCTTGGGGACCATATCCAGTCCCTGACCCCTGGCTCTTTCCCTGTCTCTCCAATTCTTAGTTCCCATGATGGGGACAGTTCTGCTCTACCATATCCTTTTGCAATGAACTGAAACCTCTGCAATTGTGAGCTGAAATAAACCTTTTATCCTTTAAATTGTGCATGTCAGGTACTTTGTGTAGTGACAGAAAAGTAATAACAATATAGAATTCATGCCACCTTCTGCCCTGGCTAATTATACCCCCAATTATTTTTGGTAGCAATGCTTCAACTGTAGATATTATCTGTACTCCCAGAATTGGTGCATGACTGGTCATGATTGATGCAGGAATACTATTGGAGCAATGCTCAAAATTTTTGTCCAGTGTTTATAAGGCATGGTTCGTATCTCCTACTAGATGCAAACTGGGAAATATGGACTTTACTGCTGAAAGCTATCATTTCCATCAGAACAATTCAACCTAAAAAATAATGTAATATATAAATACAAAAAGAACAAAAGAAGTAGAAAAAAGAATATATGAGCCCTAGTTGAATAGTTCCACGGCAACTCTACTTCTGGACTTGAAATGTTTTTAAACCTTTCAGATAGATTTGCTGTCATAGTAATTGACTTTGTATCACTAAAAACAGCCCCTTCTCAAAGCTCTACTTTAAAAATTCTGTCCTCATCTGTCAGTCTCTGTCCTCTGTCCTTTCTGTTTATTTATATTTATGGTTAGTACCTCATAATGATATCATATTCACTGACCATATTTACTATCCACCTGCTCCTCCATGTCTTAAGATACACATTTTATTCACCAATGAGTCAACCATTGTAGCTCAGTGCTTCACACTTACTAGGCAATCAAAACTTGTGTTAGTTTTAGCTTCAGTCCCCCCACACACAATGATTACTCCTTTTAATTTTCTAGTTATTTTTCCATAATACAATTGCATATTTATCCCTCTCCCATGAAAACCTTCACCTTGAACCGAACCTCAGTTATGGGCCATCTTATAGTCACTGCCCTCTAAACTTACCTTTCAGTGACATCTGACAGGGACAAACTCTTTCTGAAACAAACTCTATGTTGAGGCCCATCTTAAAATGTCAGCCCGAAGCTGTCTGTGGGTGTAGTGGTAGAGCACATGCTCAGTAGGCATGAAGCCCTAGATTCAATTCTCAGAACCTAAAAGAAAGAAAAAAGCTCCAAGAACATTCTAAAAGTACATACCTCTAAAATTCACCACTACATATTTCAAAAAAGTCCACTACTGATCTCCTATGATGTATCTAAATTTTAAAGAATTTTATTCAGTTCTACACATTATATTTTAAGTGAAGCCTGGCAAAATAAAAGCTACACAAAGAATCATCAGGATGGTGAAAAATCAAAGAACTATGTGTCAAGTGAAAAACAGAATTTCTTTACAAAAAGAGGACTTATAGGAAACAATATTTATGTTCTGACATTTGAAGAATTGTCATGTGGAAGAACAAACGTGACAATTCTCCTCTTAGCCACATGGCTAAAAAAGATTAAATTTTACTTTTATACAGAGTTACATCTTTACTCAATATGAGACACAACCTTAATGTTTCTATCTGCCTGTAAAAGAAGTTTACATAAAAGCAAACTTTTACAAAGTTATTGATCAAGTTGCTCAGATGTGTACTGGACCAACAAAGAAGTCCCAAATCTCAATGGCTTATCACACAAAGTTTGCTTCTTATTTACACCATCTACTCTGTACAGGCCACCAAAATTGTGCCCAGAGTTATACTCAGAGATCCAGAATGATAAAGTTTCCATGATCTTGCCACACTGCCACACCAATACATGTCCCCAGGGCCATCAGTGCAAGAAAACAGAGATAGACTCACAAACTGATTCTTCAGTGCTTCTGCCTGGAATGGTTTCACTTCATCTCCACTTAAATCTCATTGAGCAACCTCTGTCCATGGCCAAGTGGCATTTTAAGGAGATGAGGCATGGAGTATCCCCATGTGCCTGAAAAGAGAAAAGTGTCAACAGTTTCAGTGAAGACCTGTAACATTTACAATTTTGTAGCATTTAAAGGAAGACCAATTATCCCCAAGAATATTAGAGAAAAGCTTAGATCTCTAAACTCCTTTAAACTATGGGATTCTGGAATTCCAAATTTGTATTATACAGCTCCTTTTAGACCTGGAATTTTTTTTTCTTTCCTTGGGTCAAATAAATAATTCCAGAGTTCTGACTCACTCATAGAAAAATCGCTGTGCTCAATATTTGGATGAACTAAGATGAGCTTCCAACCACTTCACTTGGAAGAGCAAAATATTGACAGGTCAACAGCTCTAACTCTGTTTGATAAGCTTGCAACATTCCACTTTTTCAAACATTGCTTCAAATATTTACATTTGGCTTCTACATAAGAGTTGTTGATTTTCAGTAGAGGCTGAGATGAATGACAGTTGATAACTGCTCTTCATGTTCTATAGAATTGACTTGCACAGTTCCGAGCTGTATTTCTATCTGCCTCAATAAGAGCATAAGCTTAGCTGAACAGGTGGTGTTAAATGTTGTCAGCTGTATTCTAGTAGCTTGATTGTGTCTTTCACTATGTGAGAGCCACAGCTTACAGGTTATGTCATTTATATTAATCTCCCGATTCATTTTGCTGCCATGTGTTGCTTAAATTGACAGCAATTATCCAGCTCATTTTTGCTCACTTAAAACCAGCTGTGTCCTCGGTTCTTTGGATTGTGGATCAAATAAGGACAGCTGTACATTTTCAATACAATAAACCTAGAGTTGTGACCCTGAAATGGGTCCTTAGGAAAGGCCCCAGTCCTCTAGTTGATCGACTTGGTTTATATACAAAAAAATCATAAGTTAACATTTATTACGAGTTTACCATATTCTAGGCCTGGGCTAATGATTTCACAGGTATTTGCTCAATTAATCTTCTCAAGAACTCAGCGAAATAAATATTATTACCCCCTTTTCACAAATGACATTCTCCCCTTTTCACTTAGGTAAAGAAGCACAGGGTGTGGGCTCCACTGTCACACAGGACATCCATGCTGCCTGGACACCAAAACCCTCCTTCTCCTAGCTTCCAGTCTCAACGCTATCACTCCCGTCACCCACACATGGAAAAGCATCCAACCCCAGCAAGGAATTCCAACAGAAATAACAACAAGGAGCACTTTCTCCTTCTTGGGCACCAATATTGAAAAAAATAGCAAATCCTAGCACTGGCAAGTATGTGGAGAAATGGGAGCACCCTCCTTCATGGCTCAACATTTTGTAATACGTAGCTCACACTATTGTATGCAGAAGCTTCCTCCATTTCTCCATAACTCCTACACATTAATCTGGGGAGAAGGTGACAGAACAAATCCCAAAAGAAAAAAAGTACACAGTCTCACCTATTGATTGCCTAAGTGAAGTGAAAAGAAAGCCTGTAACATTATGTAATCTGAGAAAATGATAGAAAAGGAATTTTGAAATTACTAACCATTGAGGCTTGGGTCCCAGACGCCTGTAACTGAGAAATTTTAGAATATTTTCTAGAGCCATTTAATAATAATAGTTTTTTCAATGGTGATAGTTTTTCCACTTCTGATTGAAACCTTTAAGTTTTAATAACACTCATCTGTGGATGAAGGGATTTGTGAAGTGTTTTTTGTATTTTTCTTCGTACCTTTCAATATTATCTAGCCTTCCACATCAGTGACAATTTATAAACTCAGTAAGAAGATTTAAAGAAATGCAACCAGTTTATTGACTAAGCTGCACTCAAGAGGGAGAAAGCAAAAGGCAACTTTATTCTTTCTCTCTATTTGCCCTGCCTGTGCCACTGGGCCCTTTCCCGTGGGTCGCACGGAATGCAGTCTTTCACAAGGGAAGAGGTGAGTTCCCTCCTCCCACTGCCGAGGTTTTCCACTTTTACAAAACTCTGCCCCTGTCCACACCCACTGTAGGCTATAACCCAGTCCTTCAGCTTCCCCTCCAGGAACTCATTCCCGAGGTCCAGCCCTGTGCTGCAGACACCTGTATCAGCCTCTCTCCAACAATTCTGCATCACAGGTTTTCCACCACCCTGGTGCCACCCCAAGAGCTTCACTCCTCTGCTCGAGGCTGGGCATGGTGTCCAGCTCAGCACTAGTGCCTAAGTGGAAGGATGGGGCACAGAAGCAAGTGTTCCTTGTGTTACACAAGAGTCCAAAATGATCCTCCAATGGAAACAAATAAAGCCTCTGCATTACTAATGTATGGGCACAGTGTGGGTTAAAGGCTTTAGCAGGCTGAACGGGAGGTATAACCTTTATTCAGCACACAATTTCTATGGGAAAAAACGTGTCAGGTTCAGAACAACTGACCTACAAATGCTCCTTAGGAACATAACTCGTCTGGAAACCAGGAGCTGCCTTTACAATCAACTTCACCTGTCAGGGCCAATAGATTAGAGTGGAGACAGCCACATTGATTTACAGCCTCGGCCCTGTAGCTGAACCACTTCCTAATTCACATTTTTTAGCCCTAAAATGAAAGGAATAATATGTCTGCTCCAACTACAAGGTTGTTGAGATAATAAACATGGCTATTTCGGAGCAAATATCTTACAAAATTGACAACACTTGTGTGTTTACCATTATATCATATTATACATTATAGAAGGTATAATATGTTTAATCAGTTATAAGGACATAATTTCTGAGATTAATAAGATTTTCTCAAAAGTATCACAATATGCTTCTTACTTCCTTTTCTGATTTTTTTCACTTAGCAAAAATGCCCTTGTTTCTGTTAGCTTATATATTATTTTTAGAATATTGGTATTACCCAAACCCATCTAATTTTAAGAATGTTAATTGAGGCTACACTAATAACAGACACATCTACACAATTCTAGAAAATGTTAATTTTGTTAAACACCATAAAAAAGTAATCTCTGCCACATTCACTACAATTAATGTCAAAATGCTAAAAAGAATCCAAAACTTGAAAATAAGAGCAAAAGATACAGCAATCCCTTTCAATATCTTCCTAGCATAATATTATTTCCAAAGCCCACTTAAATACTACTTATCTAATTACTTATGTTTAACTTTACTATTTCTTATTTGATGAGACTAGACACTGTGGAACATATGTTAAATTGTTGAATTATTTTGAATATAAAAATATAACCCTAACTGGCACATGGACTGAGAGAACCAGAAAGGAAATTAAACAGGGGCCTTGTGAACCCATCAGTGCACTAACTGGGGAAAACCAGGAAGGAAGATATACTCCACCCATGTGCGCCAGCCAGCACACAGACTAGGGAGAACAGGAAAGAAGTTACACCCCTACCTGGGGACCAGCCAGCACTCTGGCTAGGAAGAGAGAACCTAGGAGAGAGCCTAGGCCCCCACCATGTGAGCCAACCAGAGCACAGAGCAGGGAGAACCAGGAAGGAAGCTACACCCCTCCCCCTCCCTCTGTGAGCCAGAAGCACATAGGCCACAGCGAGAACACCCACCCTTCCCCCTGCCCCATAAGCAACCAGCTGATTCTGAGGACCTGTATTGTTTGATTGATTTTGCAAGTCTAAATCCAGTAGTCTGAGCAACTATTTAGAGTACAACATTATGCAATATAGCAACTATGGAGGATTTCCTACTGTCCTATCACTGTTTTGTTTTGCTTTATTGTTCTGTTTTACTCCCTTTAAGAAAGAAATGTACACATATATCTAAGATTCGTCTTTTGCTGTCCTGTGGGTCACTCACCAATGCTATATCTAACCAAGCTATCTTATTCTAACACTATCCCTCCTAATGGAGTATATATTTGCATCTTTATCTTCAAGTCTTCTCTCAGAACTAATTTTTTCTCCACATTGGATCTATCATTAAATAATGAGATGGATAAAATCTTTGACAGGCTGTCATTCCTATTTGTATAACAGTCATGTTTTCAACTTGTTGAAAATCATATTTTGATAAAAGTGAAAGGGAAAGAAATCTTATACCTCAGATCCTTCTGAATTTCAGGCTAATAAGTGCTGAAAATTTAGAAATATCTCTGTTTTAATTCAATTTTACTGTCACAAAAGCATGTAATAGTTGTCCCACTCCTGAACATATTCTTTGCACTTACAACGGATTGGCTATTCTTGTAAGTGCCATACCAGGCACTGTTCCTGGTGCATACAGGTCTTTGAAAAGTATTTGTTGAATGAAAGAACCCATTATTTGCAACTCTTACAAGGACTTGTAAGACAGATACTATTATTTTACAAATGAGAAAAATGGGAGGACAGAAAAGACAATTAGTTTGGCCATGGCCGTAGTTGCCTATAAGTAATCAAGCAAGGATTCAAACTTAAGTGTGTCTGCTCCACTCTCTTTTCCCTGTGCCTTATGACAGACAAAACTCAAATGTACCCCAATGTTCCCATCTTCAATAAATAATAATGCAGAGTATGAATGTCAAAAAACAAGAAGTGCATACATACTACTAAAATACATAATATTAAAATTGTGGTTATTAAATGTAGATTTTAGGGGCTGAGGATTTAGCTCAGTGGCATAAGCACCTGCCTTGCAAGCAGGCAGTCATGAGTTCAATCCCCGGTACCGATAAAAAGGAAAAAGAAAAAAAAATGTAGATTTTAAAGTCCTTGTCCACCCTTGCTTCTCACATGCTCTAGCTTTAAGCCAGCAAAATTGTGATCTTCAAACTGGAGTGTGAACACAAAACTTACCCAATGTGTAAAAAAAAAAAGTAAAGTCCCAAGTTTCAATTTGTATTACAATAACACTTTCCTTCTTGAAACTAAAGCAAAAAAAGAAAAAAAATTCATAAAGAAATTTTTGAGACAGCTTTGTTTCATCCAAGGGAAAACTCAAGGCAGGATTCTATCCATTCATGTCTAGTGTTATCCACACACCTAGCAATCAATTCATCTTTCCATCAATTAGCATGTCTTAGTGCAGAGGTGCTAGGCAGATGCATGAGTATATGAATTTCAAAATGAAATCATACCTTTTCTAATGAAAAGTAACACTGATTTGCTTGATTAGTTTCACAATGAGGCCTGATTATCTGAAGGACATGATCTGTGAATTGGATGAGCTCCAACTACAACTCCAAGATTTGAATTAAAATATATTTAATTTATGTAGGTTACATAAAATACATGCTGAAACACATCCTCTGCAACTATTTTACTTTATGTGTTTTAAACTTTTAATTTTGACTTTAAAATGTATGAGAGGAAGATAGTTTCTCAAAATTCTTTGTTCTTATACAGAACAAAACAGATTCGAGAAGTATCATTTCAGATACTTCTTTATAAATGTCCCATTTATTTTGTCCTCAGATCCAGCGGGAAAATGCCCACCAAGTCTGCCATCTCCTTGCCTAAGCTTAGGTCATCATAGACACCGCAGAGGAGGGAAAAATCACATCATCATAGTGGTGTCAAGATAATTTCATGGCATTCAGCTTCTACTAGGCCACTTGGTACTGGCATGCATCTGTGGGTTTTGTTTGTTTGTTTGCTTGCTTTTTGTTTTTGTTTAGCTTTCTTCTGTTTCCCATAGCTGCCATTTCAAATACTTAACAAGATTCTCAAACCTACACTTGCCACCACCCCCTATTATTGGTTTTAATCAGCCAGGTTACTTATTCTTGCCTAAATTTGGTCCTAACTCTGCTGCAACAGAGCTGTTCTTGGGACCCCAGGACCCTCTCCCTCAACGTCAGGGATCTTTTCCCTTTCCATTATTCAACCCTACTTCTGCTCCTCTTCGGTCTCATCTCTCCATCTATATTTTAATACACTTCTATCTCACTTATTAAAACAAACAAAACACTCCCATCCACAGCACACTCACCTTTTAGCAGACCCCTTGTCTCACCAGCACCACCCCATCATTCTCTCCTCATACCCAACTCTCCTAAAGCAGTATATACATTCTCCCTGTCTCCTTGTTTTTTACAATGGGGTTTTTGCCCTGATCACTCCAAAGAATCTGCTCTCTGCAGTTACTGACCACCACTTTATTGTGGTCCCTTTTTCACTCACTGTAGTACAGCATCTGATGAGTATTTCTCAAAATACTATGTTCCCTCGGCTCCCTTTGCAACACACTCTCTATTTTTTAATTTCCCAGGGGCACCTTATTATTCTGAAAGGACCATCTGCATCACATCCACACTACCTTGATAAACCTACTTACTTGATCATCCTCCATCTTCCTGGCCAATTACCCTTTTCTGTTCATTTGTTGAAAACCATGTCTGTCTAGGGCTGTGGATGTAACCCAGTGGTAGAGAACTTGCCTAGATATGTGAGACCCTAGGTTTTATTCTTAGCACTACCAAAAAAAAAAAAGCATTTCCAAAGATCCGGTAATGAGATGAGATTCTATATGTTCACCTTGAGCACCTGAATCAATCTTCATCATTTTTACTTTCATTCTTATGTTTATGGCTCTCAGTGATCTTTCATCAGATCATTTTGTGAGCTTACAGATTTAACAGACTTCTAAACAGCTTTTATAACTTTCCCTCAGGTACCTAAAACAGCATACCTAAAGCTGAATTGATATTTCTGCCTTATCTCTGTCCTCCTTGCCTGGGAAATGGCACTATCCAACCCACTGAGGCAGAACCCTTTGGCCTTTCATGAACTTCTTCACCAGACTACTGTGATCCACACACTGGTTTCCATAACAGTGTCCTGAATTAGCCCACGTCCTCTACCCCCACAGCCAACCCTCTACTTCAGGGTGCAGCTGCTTCTCACTAGGCCACCGCTGCCTGCTTGTTGGCTCCATCTGTGTTTCATACTGCAACCAGAGAAAGAGTTCCAAGTCTTAAAATTTTTCAATAAATTCTTCTTATGCTCTACCCTATTGCTCATTTTTTTTCAGTTGCTACTCTAATTATACACAAAGGATAAATTCTAGGCTCCTCAGTCTGGATTTCAAAGCCCTTGTGTATCTGGCCTACCACTGTGTGAGCTTCAGTTTCCCGTTCCCTTTACTCTCTGTCCAGAGTGCTTTCAGGTCCCAAGACTCACCAAGCTCCCCTGCCTAGAACAATCTGTCTGCCTCTGCTTTCCAGCTGCCTCCTACTTAACTGTTAAGTTAATTACGGGTTGTCTTGTGGTGAAATACTGTGTTTCTTACATTGTTCTGTTCTAATTTGCTTTGTTATGTCCTCTTTGTTATGTCTTAATCTCTTTAAAAATAAAAAAAGATTACAGCAGCGATGTTATCTCCTCTATAAGTTTTTGCTAACCTCTCAAATCTGGTGTTGATTCTATCTTACCTCCTTCCGGGATGCATCACCTTCTAGTCCGCTAGAACACCTACTCTATGTTGATTTTTAGCGGGTTGCAATGTGTACATTTCTCAAGCCAGAGAGACATACGTGGAAGTATATTCACCACTGTATCCTCTGTGTTTGGGGCACTAACCACTGCCTGGAACAGAGAAAATATTCAAGCAACATATATTTACTGAATAAATCCTTGAAACTCCAAAAACAACTTTGTCTGCAAAACAAATCATATTACTTCTATGAATGTATTATAAACATATCCAATGTCTAAATACAAGGTTTTCAAATATTTGGCCAAAGAGAATCTATAAACTTGTTGGAAAAAATACTGTGCCCCAAAGCCATATATATATATATATATATTTGCCTGAGATCTGAAGATATCAAAAAATTGAATTTCTCATTCTTTTATTAACTCATTTGACAATCACTAGTCACCTAACTCTGTCCTCATGAAGTTTCCTTCTCATATTTCTCCTATGATATCCATTGAACCCTATACAAAAGCAAAGCTATTTCCAGCTTTCCAAGTGTTATTTTTAACCATCTAAGAGTATCTGCTTTTGTCCAAGTGGGAATATTTTGCAAATAATACATTTTCCTTGTAGAGAGGAAGTTCAAGTTGAAAGTAACGTTACAGTTCCTAAACCTTTCATACTCCTGATCTTATTCGCCTTCTCAGTTGTGCCAGAGTCATGAACTGTTACACTCTCAGCTCCAGTTAGAAAGATGACTTTTTGGGCTGGGCATTTAGCTCAGTGGCATAAGCACCTGCCAGGCAAGAGTGAGGTCATGAGTTTAATCCCCAGGGCCGCCAAAAAAAAAAAGATGACATTTTTAAACAGACCTAAATGAAAGACAGTTTGGTATGGATACACTTAGATTCACAACCCATACCTTAAGGCAATTTAGCATCAACTTTCTAAGTGAGAAAGGAAAAACTCTCTCATTACTTCTAGATAAATGTCTGAGCCTACCAATTGTCATCTGCATGTGATCGAAGTATCAAAAACTAAAAATGGAGATTCGGTTGTTCACATGCCAGCTAGAATTTCAATTCTGTGATGTTTGACCTCTGAACCAGTTGTCAATGGTATTAGTCTAAGGTATCTTTTTGGCATTTCT